ACGGAGTAATGCCCTCCAAGAGGAAAGAAGGTGTTGTTAACCCCATACCTAAATCTGGTATGAGTGATCCCCGAAACCCGCTTGAATATCGGGGCATAACCGTTATATCGATTCCATCAAGATTTGTGCAGATATACTTAACACTCGTTTCAGCAATTGGTTGGAGAAAACTGACATTTTAGTCGATAAACAGAATGATTTTCGTTCTAACAGAGATTGCATTGATCATCTTTTTTATCGTCTTTAATTCAGACAAAAAAAAGCCTAAAAAGATTCCATCACTGTTTGCTTTGTTGATTTAAAAAAAATATAAAAATTCGACAGTGTTAATGGAGAATGCCTGTTCCAACTTGGTACAAGAGGCAAAAAATTAGATGCCATCCCATCTCTTTATGACAATGTTAACCATGTTGTTAAATTCAATGAACATTTTACTAATGCTTTCCCAGTGATGTCTGGTGTAACACAGGGGTACAAGTTATCCCCAACGTTATTTGGCGTCCGCCCGGAGAGCGGAAGGTCCGGGGTTCGATCCCCGGCCGCGTCATACCAAAAGACGTTAAAAGATGGTACTTGTTGTTACCCTGTCTGGCGCTCGGCATTAAGGGGCTAAAACAAGGACTGGTCGGCTCGGAGTCAGTATACTGTGTCTGAGTGTGGTATTCATGTTAAACTGCGGCACGGTATCTCAGTGAGCTAGCACTATCAATCGGCATCAGATCGGACTAGTACAAGCAGCCACACAAACACACACACGTACATGCACGTCGCTATATAAGTGCAATAATCTTGGACGCGACGTTAAACCCCATTTCACCTCACCTCACCAACGTTATTTGCTGTTTATATGAACGACTTAGCCCATTGTATAACAGTATTGATAACCTCAACTGTGGTGTTCAACGTGATGATGTGAAGATATCAATTTTGATGTAGGCAGATGATATAGCGCTTATAGCGCCCGACGAAACGTCTTTGCAGACAATGTTGAATGTTTTAGATGTGTGGTGCAAACATTGGAAATTAACTGTAAATGCAGTTTAACCGTATCTGGTTGAACCAACATCTTGATATGAAGAAATCTGTCAGAGAACTGTATAAATCTGCCAGTAGAGCACTGTCCTTATTTTCTAAGTTTGAAGCTGCTGGTGGCATGTCATATGATGTGTTTAAAAAGCTGTATGAAACTTTGGTTGAAACAGCTATGTTGTACGGCTCCGGTTTATGGGGCATTAACACATACAGAGAAATCAATACATTGCAGAACAAAACATGTCGATCTTTCTTAGAGTTTTTTAGAGAGCACCTAACTTGGCTGTTAACGGTGATATGGGTTTTAATTCGCCAACTTTTAAAACTGTCACGAATGTTTTTAGACTGTACATTAAGTATCCAAGTGCAAATACTTCATGTCTTCAGTTCAGGGGGGCGGTGGGGTAGTCTAGTGGTTAAAGCGTTCGCTCGACACGCCGAGGACCCGGGTTCGATTCCCCACATGGGTACATAACCATATTGTAACGAATAATGACAGCTATCATATCTCCATGTCAGAAGGATGAGATCTGATTGGTTCACGTGATCTTGATAAAATACGTCATGCCCCGACCAAACCGGGTCCTTCGCTAGATAGCTCAACCATTTACTAATCGTGCTGGCTTTCATGTTGTTGCTTTAAGTGTTTAAGAGGTTGCATGTGTGTGAGTAGGGTACCCATATATGTGAGTGTGTGTGTGTGTTTATTGTTTAACGCCGCACTCACCAATATTCCAGCTATATGACGGCGGTCTGTAACATAATCGAGTTTGGACTACACAATCCAGTGAATGACATCATGAGCATTGATCCACGCAATTGGGACCGATGACATGCATCAACCAAGTCAGCGAGCCTGACCACCCGATCCCGTTAGTCGCCTCTTACGACAAGCATGGGTTGCTGAAGACCTAGTCTACCCCGGATCTTCACGGGTCGGGATACACATATCTACCGGGAGTTGTAGTATTGATAAGATTTCTGTTTGTGTATTGATATGATTTCAGTTTTCGTACTGATATGATTTGATTTTTGATTTTTAGAAATTTGAATTTCTTTGACAGCTTCATATATATACGTTCGAGAAGCTGGTCGTCTTTCAGAAATAGAGTTAGTTTGGCAGTCGTTAGTGCATCTCTTGGTAACACAAATGTACTCGGACATTGTACGTTACATGACATTCAGTAAGGTGAGCCAAATTTGTATCAAACAAAACGTCTTCAGTTGCAGATACAAAATAAGTGTTTGTTTTTCGTTTAACGCCGCACTCAGCAATATTCCAGCTATATGACGTCAGTTTGTAAATAATGGAGTCCGGACCAGACAATGCTCTGAGTATTACAAGCAACGACCCACGTACGATGACACAAACTCAACGAGGACATCGAGCCTGACCACCCGATCCATTAAGTCGCCTTGTACGGCCGACATAGGTTGCTGGGGACCTATTCTTAACCACGATTACCCTAGAGGACGCCATAACCTGATACTATAAAAACTTTAACCAGCTTATATTTCGTCACGCCGATGACCGGGGTTCGATTCCCCGCATGGTTACAATATGTTTCGGTGCACGTTTTGGTTACCCCCGACGTGATATTGTTGGAAAATTGCTGAAAGCGGCGTGAAACAATAGTCATTCACTTCTCCAGGCGACTACACTGCCGCCAGTGAGGAATGCATTGATAAGGTTTTACCTGCCGACTCAATCTGGCACAAGCGGCTGATACACATCTGGAGTAACGATTTTCTTCATTTCGTGTCTTAGACCTATCATGTAATTAGAAACCCTAATAGGACCCCAAGTGATAAAGTGAGTGAGTGAGTGAGTATGGTTTAACGCCGCTTTTAGCAATATTCCAACAATATCACGGCGGGGGACACCAGAAATGGGCTTCACACATTGTACCAAGTGATAAAGAATGAATGATAGCTCTAATGAGAAAGAAATAATTCATACAATGTCACTTGGATATCCTCTTCAATCAGACACGCATAATCAACGAAATAGACACTTTTACTTCGGAGTTAACAATATGTGTCCAATATATCGTAAAATGTACATCTACATACCCATAAATGAGTGTTACATGTTACTTGGACGAATGAGTGTTACATGTTACTTGGACAAACGAGTGTTACATGTTACTTGGACGAATGAGTGTTACATGTTATTTGGACGAATGAGTGTTACATGTTACTTTGACAAATGAGTGTTACATGTTACTTTGACAAATGAGTGTTACATGTTACTTGGACGAATGAGTGTTACATGTTACTTGGACGAATGAGTGTTACATGTTACTTGGACGAATGAGTGTTACATGTTACTTGGACAAACGAGTGTTACATGTTACTTGGACAAACGAGTGTTACATGTTACTTGGACAAACGAGTGTTACATGTTACTTGGACAAACGAGTGTTACATGTTACTTGGACAAACAAGTGTTACATGTTACTTGGACAAACGAGTGTTACATGTTACTTGGACAAATGAGTGTTACATGTTACTTGGACAAACGAGTGTTACATGTTACTTGGACGAATGAGTGTTACATGTTACTTGGACAAACGAGTGTTACATGTTACTTGGACAAACGAGTGTGAAATGTTTCTTGGACTCGCCGTGAATTGTGCATCTGAAATAAATATCTGTCATTGTTGTCATACTTTTGTAGTAGTAGTAGTAGTAGTAGTAATAGTAGTAGTAGTAGTTGTAGTAGTAGTAGTAGTAGCAGTAGTAGTAGTAGTAAATCGTTAATTATACTTTTAACTTGTATGGCTATGTATTACGGTTAGTGAGCACAAAATAGTTTTAATTTGCATGCCTATATTTCATTAAATAAAACTGATAATTCATTCATGTCTATTTTCAATCCCCTCATAAATAATATACACTGCCTGGAACAAAGTGTACTCTTGAAATTTGGACTTGACTAAAAATTACAAGCGTTATCAAAACAGTACTAGTCTGAAAACAATGTCCAAAACACCGCAAAACTAAGGTCAAAAACAACAACTATGATACTCGTATCATGGTCATCACCATTGTCATCACATTTCTTGTTTATTCAGTTATTAGACACCATCACACATGGGTGAATACTTTGATGTTCCCGGCAATACTCGCTCACTATTCCCACTTCACTGTAGCTGTGATGTACGCATGCGCAAGAAATTGAATTCCTTAATAATGAATATTCATGTGGTTTGTTTGCATGTCTTTATGTATCACGTATGTGTCCCTTATTATGTAATGTTGCCACGTGTACAGATAAACACATTAAATATATGAAATAAAGCATACCTCAAACATGACTACCTAGCAGAGATCTGAAAAAATAATGGATGGAAATGACAGGTTTATTCCCATTGGAAAATTGCTCTCTGTGTATATAAGCACATGTATTTATTTAATGATTTATATTGGTTTAACATACATTCTATGTGCCATAATAAATCGCGCTCGCTCTGTAGGCTTTAATCTATTTCATGTTACAACAAAGACACATTTCTTTTTATAATAGGTTGGCTCTACTTAAGTCCGTCAATCAACATGAACACATGTTCAACGTTATCCTAACCAGACCCTGAACCTAGAGATATTTGATCATTGCCCTTATGTTACTTTTCCTTCTCTATATATGTATTCATTGCGCTTACACGTTTTTCGTTTTTGATAATTTCCCGGCGAACGTCTTATTTTATGAGCGTTTCTTCCAATATTTGTTTCTTTTCGTTACAGAGAACAACGATCCACGTTTTAATACTTCCACTTAGGGGAGAAATTATTGTTGATGTTTTTTTTTATATCCCGCAAGACCCCATTAAATAAAATACGCACCTCCAAACTTACTATACAATCAATAAAAGGATTATTAATGGGATCTACGAGGTATTTGGTACTTGTAAAAATTTGTTAGAAAGAAACTGCATATCATATGCCCTTGAGCCGGAAGTGTCCGGATTCTATTGGAGCAGGCATGTGCTTGTTGTTTACAAACAGATCGTGATCCTCTTACGGTTGTTGGTGATCCACAAGTACAATATTTGTGACACAGTCAAGCAAGATGACGAGAAGTAAGTTTACCTACGCTTCCAAATACTAGGACAATCGGTTCACTATGCTATGGTGTGGGATGGAGATTTAGAATTCAACGACAAAATTGAGACTCCAGTCACCGACCGGGTCTGTTGGCGTTGTTTCAGATCATAACGTTTCTGTCATTAAGTATACATGATATTTGCGACTTGGGCCTATAGCTTGTTATAGCCTTTGTGTAATGTTACCATTATATTTTCCAAAGATTATTCAGTGTACACACGTATCGGCTGAAAGATAGTCATCTTATCCCATGGTTACCATGGAAACGCAGGATGCCACCAGGTTCAGATACTGCATTCGTCACGATTACAGTGTCCTGTATAAAAAATATGTACACCGACATTCTTTGGGACAAGAATTGGTCTTGGTCTTTTTATTTTAATAGTAAACGCCTATTCCTTATTTTTATATTTCGCATAATTATGAATAATGAAGGAAAAAAATCAAAATTCCAATAACGGGAATTTGTAGCTGTACACAATTATATTTTTTATTGACCCATTCGCCCTACAACATCCTTTAACTCCTTTAAATGCCTGTGATCCAATAAACTGATGTTCTGATAACCGTCAGTAATTATTTAAGGTTGAGATCAGCATTTATTTCTTAATGTTAAGGGGCTCAAGTATTATTTCCAACATAAACAAATGCTCAGTTATTATTTATGTAAATACATAAATATAACAAACTGTATTCTTTGGATACCAGTGTCTGCGAAAAAAGGGCTTATTATGCTTTCCCTACAAGGCGAGGCATATGTAATTTTAGTTTTCAGTAAAACAAGGGCCTGGATTATTCAAATGGCTGTTTTCTATAATGTGAATATAGAATCTTCAAACCAAATCATTATGTTGGATCATTGGGAGTGGGAAGAAAATTTATCGCAACTGTAAGGAGGGGCTGTTTCAATATCATGTGTTATCCAAACACTAAATAAAGCGACAACAAGACGCACATGTCAACTTCACTCATTTACTCGGTAGCCATCATTTTAACAAGCCCAGATGCACAGGGATCAGTCATTGTTCTAGACAGTAAGGGTGATAGGGACCAGTCATTACTGGATATTGCAACAGAGGCCTCTAATCATTAAGTTAAGTTTTGATTTTTTTCAAGTAAATGTTTTATAAATTTGAATATTATTAAGGGACTGGTCATTAATTATGGAGAGGGGGGTGTCATGAAAAATTGTCACATTTATTTGTGGGGAGAGCATGAAGAAATGAGGGGGGTTGAATTATTGATGTAGATGCATGATGGCATTGAACTGACTCCCTCGCTTGTTTCAGTTACGGAGACACTGATTCGCAAGAGGGCGGAACACAATGAACTGGAGATATCAACACTAGAAGAGGTCTCTCTTCATCAACAGGATATAGAAAAGTAGGCTGTGATTAATATGAGTGGATATTCATGTCATTTTAATTTGAACACTACATCGTATACGTGGTTACAACTTGGTTAACAAGGCCATGGAATGTGAAGTAACTCCAGATAAGGTCATATCACTATAATGTGTTTTATATGAAGTTCACCTAATATGCATGCAGGTTTTTCTGTGGATAGGTTGCTGCTCACGTGACAAGCTGATGTCTGTGACACGGATGTCCATACATATAATACTATTTCTATAATAGTGAAGCGGCTAAGATCCATAGGAAATGTGCATTTAATGATTAATGCGCCAAAATTGATCATAGTATCTGTAGAAGAAAATGTCTGAAATAATTTCAGATATGGAGGCACCTAAATTTTTTACTGTGTGCACATGTGCATTAGATTATGAAATGATGTTCTAATTTCACCGTTTCACCTTAAAGAATCAGTAACCTCAATCATTAAACACAAATAAATTCATAATTAATCAGTATTTTTTGTTAAAATCGTCAATATAGTGCATGGTTGGAAGTTGAATTGTGAAGTATCTTGTCTGAATACCTGTGTGTATGTATTTGAAGTCATGTTGTTAGGTTGTTGTTTTTCCCTTGGACATATGCAATACTAAATTCTACCTGTCCTTCAAATTATCATGTCCCGTGAAGATACCGGATTAGAATTGGTCTGCAGCAACTGGTCTTATGTGGCGACTAATGGGATCGGGTGGTCAGACTCGCTGACTTGGTTGATGCATGTAATCGTATCCCATATACGTAGATCAATGCTCATGATGTCACTGGATTGCCTGGTCCAGACCGCCGTCATAAAGCTGAAATATTGCTGATGTAGCGTTAAACAACAAACAAACAAGCACACAAAATAATCAAATTGTTATACTGGGCTGGAACGGCCACACTCCTTGTTACATCGTCATGACAACGTCATGTTCATGAAGTTGGAGTTTCACAGAAAACATTGTTCCAGTAAGTGAGATATTTCTTCAGTGTCATTTTGTGAGTTGATATTCCCTTTACATTTCAGAATTGAGCACATTGACAGATGGTGTAGGGAGTTAAAGATTTTGTACCTGCAGAGCAATTTAATTCCAACAATAGGTGAGTAAATTGCTGTTTCTCAGTTAGAATGGTGTTACTCCATCAGAATGACATTTCTCCATAGGAATGGTGTTTCTCCATTAGAAAGGTGTTTCTCAAATAGGATAATGTTTCTCAATGAGAATGATGTTCCTCAATTAGATATATGTTGCTCAATATAGATAGATGTTTATAAATTAGAATGGTGTTTCTCAAATAAAGATTATCCATGTCTCTCAGTGAGTGGGTGAGTGAGTGAGTACGGTTTTACACCGCTTTATCCCAGCAATATCACGGCTGGGGACACCAGAAATTGGCTTCACACATTGTACCTATGTCGGGATTCCCATGTCTCTCAGTATCTTTCACATCATACATGTTATATGAGGTAAGTGAAAAATAAACTCAGACATTATATTGGGGGATGTAAAATGTTTCCTAGTTCTTACAGTGTTATGGTTATAATGAAGTCTTTCTTATAGATTTGCCAAGCTGATTTTTGTAATATAAACTATTATTAAACCATAGGAAATTAATAATATATACATCTGATAATTTTTTTATTACCTATTCTTTTCTTTTTCAGAAAATGTGAGCAAGTTAAAGAAGCTGGAATACCTTAATCTTGCTTTAAATAATGTTGAAAAAATTGAAAATTTAGAAGGTAAGTATTTTTGTGCGTAAATATATTCTCAGTATACATGGTATAACAAAATTAAAGTTTTGATTAATTCTGCACAGCTCTATGAGCCTCTAACTGCTATATCTTCATATTAGTTCCATCTTCCCGAGGCAATGGAGTTAACTGACTGTAAAAGTCCAGTTTCCCCCCTTGTCAAACTAGGCTGGGATTATGGAGTTATATTTTGACTGGACTAACGAGTCTATGCATAGTCCAATCAAAATCGCGTTATGAAATCGACAGCAGGTTCGTAAACAAAATGGATTTCAACGTGCAGATTTCAGTAGACTGCAGGATTTGCAAAGAATGTGTACTGTCAACTGGGCATCGACAGATATTTTCCAAATCTTTTCATGTGTTTAATCAAGGGGCTCACTTCGTGAGGTAAGACCCGTTTTTTTACAATATAGAACTTGATCATTGATCGATCATCTTGACTGGGCGCCCCCATTTTGTTTGAAGAAAATGCAAGTACTATGATGGATGGAATCTGGTTGGTCAATAGGGAGGCCATAGCAGGGACATAACTCGTAATCGCCACTGGTGGCGCTACGATCGAGCCCAGAAATTCCAGCCTAGTTCGGCAAGGGTGGAAACTGGACTTTTATAGTCAGTTAACTCCATTGCCTCGTGAAGATGTATTAGTTCATTCTTTGTTCATGGTGACATGATCGGATATGTCACCAGCTAATTCACTTTTATTAACATTTTTTCACATCTTTGAAATGTGTGCCAAAATCACTGTAAGGTCAGACTTTTTTAAAAACTTTGTTTTCAAATCCGCCACACACACCCCCACCCCCCGCACGTTTCAGTGTGTGTTTTATTCTGCCAGCATCCGACTCATTTGTCTCTATCAAAATTAATAAATTATTTAGAACACTATAAATGAAACCTGTTTGTTGAAAATGTTTCTTAGGACAACAAATTATGACGAATGACAAGGGGAAATAAAAAAATACATGTGAAATTGGCATTTCTGTATTTATATTATTTTGACCAACCGAAATCAGTTAAAACCCAACAAGAAAATCTGGCCTAACAGTAGAACAGCTTTCTCTTATTTTCATTAGATAAAAATTGTGAATATTTTATTATTTACACATCCTAAATGAAATGTTCCAGGATGTGAATCCCTGAAGAAGTTAGATCTAACAGTGAATTTTGTCGGTGAGCTGACTAGTATTGAGAGTCTCAAGGAAAACTACAATCTCAAGGAACTGTAAGTATGATTACTGTTTTGGTTTTTCCCATGTCATCTCTAAGAACTCAAAGTTTGACATATCATTGTGTAGTATGGCTTGACTCTTCAGCACCCATAACATTATAAACAGGAGTTTCTGTGGACAGGATGCAGCCCTGTTTCCTGTCTGAAGCAAAAAAATAATTACCAAAATTTTAGTCTATGCTATATTTGGGATTACACTTTCCTAGTAAAGTACAAATTCTAGTAGTTTTCTGGGTGGAGTCCATCCAGGAATGGAACCCACACCCGCAGATTGAGGCACCTCATCACCAGCACACAAAGCTCGGTTGTGTTTCTGATGCATGAAGATTAGCCTCCCCCGTCTTAAGATACTCAGGAACACAGATAAGAGTTTATTTATAGCAGTCTTCTGATTATATACTACTCATAAGAAGTTAAGGAACACCCTATTCTCTTGGATGAAAGAATTGGGTGTTCTTTAACTTCTTTTGAGTTGGTTTCTTGGTTTGTAGTTTAACGCTACACTCGGGAATATTCCAGCTATATGACGGCGGTCTGTAAATAATCGAGTCTGGACCAGACAGTCCAGTGATTGATATCATGAGCATTGATCCATGCAATTGGGATCAATGACATGCACCAACCAAGTCAGGGAGTCTGACCATCTGATCCTGTTAGTTGCCTCTTACGACATGCATTAGTTGCCTTTTATGGCAAGCATGGGTTGCTGAAGACCTATTCTACACCAGATCTTCACGGGTCTCTTCTTTTGAGTAGTACATAGAGGACTTGCTTGGAGAAGGCAGCAATTTAGAATGTTTACCAATACAAACTCTATAAAAGAATGATTTGGATTGGCTGTTGATTTCAAGCTCTTGAGTGAGGTAAATTCTTTTCTAAGTTAGTGAAGTAAGCGAGATGGAGCTGGTGGCCAATACGTTCCAGAGGCGAATCCAGAATTTTGAAAAAGGAAGGACAAAGTGACTTGACTGAGGATGTAGTCAACATGTAAGGTGTCGGGGGGGGGGGGGGGGGGGTCAGCCTGGATCTCAAGTGGGTTCAGGGAATTTATCATAACAGAATGGAATACTAATACACTGGATAATTGAGGATGATCATCACTATGATAGCATGCATTATTACTCACACAGTTGACTGCTGGTGTGTCTTGGCCCAGATTGACTACTCTGCAAGATAGTTTGTAATGGTGATATAAGCTTCACACAGCACTCGTTTTCCTTCTGTCTAAACTGACAGTTTCCAGTGACAAACATTTAAGGCTGAATCTCTCTACACAGGTTTCTCACTGGCAACCCCTGCACTGAGTTTGAAGGGTACAGAGATTATGTGATTGCCACATTGCCACAACTGAAGGTGAGGGTACAAAAAACTCTTATTTCACAAAGAAAGCTTAGCGCTGACAGTCGAAACTCCAAAATCGCTTTGGTTTGTTTGATTGTCTGTTGTTTAACGCCACACTCAGCAGTATTCCAGCTATATGATGGCGATTTGTAAATAAATGAGCCTGGACCAGACAAGCCAGTGATTGACATCTTCACAGGTCCCAAAATTGCTTTGAGGAACAGGACCTTGGATTTTATTTCCCAAAACAAATCTAATGCTATGATTGCCTGCACTCCAAAATGGCAACATGGATATATGATTGGTGTCATTCTGAGAATGCATTGTGGGACAGGATGCTATTTTTCAGGATCTTTCTTCATCGGTAACACACGCCATAGCTTGAAAGCATGCAGACCGATATGTCATCTGTTGAGATAAGAAATTAAACATTAGATTTAAATGTTTTGGTGTATTGAATTTGCAGAATTTCTGTTGACCTGCGTTTATGTTTCAGTGGTTGGATGGGACGGAGATAGACAAGTCAGAGAGAATAAAAGCTGCACAGGTAATGTCACAATGTCACAGGTAATATCAATAGCCACAACAAGTTCATGCCATGCCGAGGTAGTCATCCTTGATAATCTAAGTAGTGTGTCACCATTCTTTTATGATAAATAGACCATCGCTTTGCTTCATGTCAACACTGCTGTGTGCATCAAGCAGCAAAGAAGCAGTACTATGAGTGGTAAACTGCTGTCAGCAGTACACTGTATTCCAGATGTATCATGTCAGCCTGGACCACCTCTGTGGTCTAGTGGATAGAGCATCTGCCTGGAGAGCGGAAGGTCAGTGGTTCAGTCCCCGGCCGCGTCATACCAAAAGACGTTAAAAGATGGTACTTGTTGTTACCCTGCCTGGTGCTTGGCATTAAGGGGCTAAAACAAGGACTGGTCGGCTCGGAATCAGCAGAAACGCACGCACGCACGCACGCACGCACGCAGGACTTGATTTTTCAGAGGCCACTGTGTGTGTGTGTTCCTGTGTGTGCACGCACGCATGCACGCACAGGAACACACACACACACAGGAACACACGCACAGCGGCCTCTGAAAAATCAAGTCCTGCTTAAGTAACAGGCGAATCAGTGGTTGAGCATCAGGGATCCATGTTATCATGGCATGACGAAACACAATCAGTCAGGTCACACTTTGTAACAATCTGGTCCTCATTTATTGATCCTACTCTTGTCATGGAGTACTGGGCACATATTCTGCACCAGAATCCCTGCGGTACATTTATAGTTAGAACATCTAAGCACATGAAGTGCTGCGCTCTTGTAGTTGATAGATCTGATGCAGGTGTCTGTTGTTTCAGGAGTTAAATGTCATCAGACCTAAGATCTTGGAACAGGAAAAACAGCATAGGAAGAAAAGGGTGAGTACCCCGATACCAAGACATGCATCTTCCATTGTCTAAACACAGAAGACACTTTCTATAATTAAGGAGTGCAGAGATCGGAAACTTTTCAATTGTCCTTGAGCAAGTAAAATATATGGTTGCATATGTTAGTATTTATACAGTTTATTAACAAAACTGTGTGATCCAACCAAGATGCCTCGGAAATGGAAAGCAGCGCCACCTTTCATTCATCCAGGAGAGATAACTCTACTTCATAACCAAACATTAGTTTGCCTTATTTTGTGCCAGATATAGAGAATCTCACCCTCGTGTCTTTTGATATCAAATATATCAACACGAGTTGATAAAAGTGGAAAATTTCCGAGGCTTGTCGAGGATTTTTGCCACTTTTATCAATAAGTGTTGATATATTTGATATCAAAAGACACGAGGGTGAGATTTTATTTATCATCCAACATCATTCTTCCAACTTTTTCAATTTGTAGACAATAATTATCAGTGTCTTCAGTGTAAAAAGTACTGCTAACAGCTTCAGTAGCAGAGCCATTAGTGATGTCATTTGATTGTGACGTCATGGTAACCAGTGACGTCACAATGGTCTGCAAAGCATTGTGATGTAATTTCATTGCAGCGATATCTACAGTGTAGATATCGCTTGATCTCATCCAAGCGATATCACCTGTGGGAGCCAGTTTTGGATGATAAAATATTCTCACAAATTGAACATAGCTAGTATTTCATCCTATTTAATAGTTTGGGTTGTTTATGCAAAATTGGAAAGTATGTATTAAATACGTTTACATTCAGTATGCAGTTATGAATGCTTAAGTTGAAATCACATTCCTTTTTGCTTTATATGACCCCTTAAGATCAGGGTTAGAACAGGCCTTCACCAACCCATGCTTACTGTAAAAGATGACCATGCTTGTTGGAAGAGCAACTATAACAGGATTGGATGGTCAGGCTTGCTGACTTGGTTGATGCTTGTCATCGTATCCCAACTGTGTGGATCGATGCTCATAATGTCAATCACTGGATTGTCTGGTCCAGACTCGATTATATACATAATATGGCTGGAATATTGCAGAGTGTGGAGTAAAACAAACATACAAACAAACAAAGATTTGTATAGTTTTAGTCCTAGACGCGAGATTTAGTCGCTGATCACATGACTGCAATACTGATGATCTGTATAAACATCAGACAAATGTTAGTTACTTAACGACCTGAAACTTCATCGCCTCGTTTTCCATTCTATAATTGTACTTCCATGAAAAAGGACATACTAGAGATTCTATGGATCACTATTGCGTGAAGATTGTGTTATGTCATCCATACTCATCTATAACTGAAATGGTGTTAAAAAATATTTACCTCAGCTCCCTTGCCATGGTAACAACAGCTAGGGGATGTGAGTTTCTGTTTATAATCAAAATGTGTTTGGCTCCGAGATAGGGAAGCCACTAGAACTGGAGAAGGGAATATATAATGATCTTAAATACTGAGGATATATGTGTGTTATTCCAGTCGACTTCTTCTTCTTCTTCAGGAGAGGCAGAAGGCGGACGCAGAGAGGAAGAAGAGCGCTGAGGAGAAGCCAGGCTTTGATGGACGCTGGTACACAGACATCAACGATGGGTAAGCCGCTGCTGTCACTTCTCTCAACACTTTCCTCGATCAGTTATCTAAACTGGACCTTAGTGCTTCATGCTTGTCGTAAAATGGAACTAAAATGATGGATTTGTGAAAAAATATAGTTCCCAGTACTCCATGTGTTTCATAAGAGGGAAGTAAGATGGGGGATTCTGGGGCAAGTGTTGGTCCCAAATGATCTGTTTGTTATTATACTTGTTGTAGAGAACTGAAATAGTTGATTCTGAGGGTCTTGAGGTCCTCAAACTCTATGTATGTCGTAAGATGATGGGGGTTTTGTAATAGGTGGATTTTTGTAAACGGAAATTCTGGGGATAACTGGTCCCTTGTACTCAACATTTGTTGTGAGAGAATGAGGGTTCGTAATGGGAGAATTTGCAGATTTTGTCATCAGGCTTGTTGTCGGAGAGAACGAAAGTTGGGATTCTGTGGAGATACAGGTCCCCAGTGTTCTATGCTTGTTGTCGGAGAGAACGAAAGTTGGGATTCTGTGGAAATACAGGTCCCCAGTGTTCTATGCTTGTTGTCGGAGAGAACGAAAGTTGGGATTCTGTGGAGATACAGGTCCCCAGTGTTCTATGCTTGTTGTCATATAGAACGAAAGTTGGGATTCTGTGGAGATACAGGTCCCCAGTGTTCTATGCTTGTTGTCGGAGAGAACGAAAGTGGGGATTCTACGGAGATACAGGTCCCCAGTGTTCTATGCTTGTTGTCGGAGAGAACGAAAGTGGGGATTCTACGGAGATACAGGTCCCCAGTGTTCTATGCTTGTTGTCATATAGAACGAAAGTGGGGATTCTGTGGAAATACAGTTCCCCAGTGTTCTATGCTTGTTGTCCGATAGAACGAAAGTGGGGATTTTGCAGGTACATGATAGGTACATAGTACATTCTTAAATGTACATTTATCTTCAGTTTTATAAAAGTTTCTGTTTTTTTCAGAGACAAGAAAGAAGGCAGCAAAAAGGGACAAGATTTTGACCTTGATGCTGAGAAAGAGTAAGTTACAAAGTAACGACCAGATGGTTTAGTGATACGCTGCTGATTGTGGGTTTGAAACCCAGGCTTTTCTGATTTTCACAGTGTTGGTGCCTTGCTCATGGGGTAAACTTTTATGTTACCAAATCATTTTGGGTTTGTTTTTTACAGAATAAATGTAATGATACATTTGTAGCAGTCAGTACTGGAAGAACTGTATGTTTGATGTATTTGTATGTCTTGAACATTATGAGATGTCAGTGCTAAAGGTTAGCTTCATCATTTTGTTTCACAACACTGCTTGCACTTTCAATCTTCCACACATATAATAAGGAAGCATTTTTAAAATGTATATTCGATTTTTGTAATATTGAGCAAAATGGCAACAAAAATCAAATTAAGTAGTCTGGGTACTTAGGCATGAGATAATCAATCCCAACAATGTCATCGTATGGGTTCGAATCTCATTCAGTGTGTTTGGAGATGGACGTCACAAAGACACATCTTTTCTGATTTAAAGTTAAAGCTGATTATGCGTTTTCATTATGTGTCAGTATATGTTCTGAAATCTCAATCTTTATACATTAGAATTCTGTTAGAATGAACAAAAGTATGAAGAATACTTGATGAAATGTTTCCCCCAGGTTTTGGGATGAGAAAGTTCCCTTCACGCCAGAGTCCCGGAAAGAAGTTCACGATCACATTCAGGAAACCAAGAGGAGAGACGAGGAAAAGTAAGGTTTTGTTTTTGCAAATGTTCACATTGAATATGATTTACATTAGTAATGAGATGCTTCAGTATATGTTTGAGATAGTCATTTGCCCATACTTTGTCCAAAATGTGTTTGAGGAATATTTTACTCCTTTCAGAACTAAGAAAGAAGAGAAAAAACCTAGAACTCTGTTCGCACCTGATGGTCGCCCGTACAATGTGAATGAAGCAGGGTAAGTTGTTCCTTTCTACACGTCTTGACATGAGACAAAACACTTGTTTCCTCCAAAAGGTGAGACCGTATGTGCATTAAAGAAGCTTCAAAATGTTTTATTCGTTTTCGTTTTGTTGCAGTGTGGACTTCACATTAACAGACGATGAGGATAGAAACATGATGGTGCTTGATGTAGCCTGCTTCAAGTAAGTCATCACGGGGAGGGGTCATTCATGTTATCGGATGTGTGTCCTGTTGGGGTTCGAGGTTATGATGATGATGATGATGATGATGATGATGTAGCCTGCTTCAAGTAAGTCATCACGGGGGAGGGGTCATTCATGTTAACAGATGTGTGTCCTGTAGGGGTTCGAGGTTATGATGATGTAGCCTGCTTCAAGTAAGTCATCACGGGGGAGGGGTCATTCATGTTAATAGATGTGTGTCCTGTTAGGGTTCGAGGTTATGATGATGATGATGATGATGATGATGATGATGATGATGATGTAGCCTGCTTCAAGTAAGTCATCACGGGGGAGGGGTCATTCATGTTAACAGATGTGTGTCCTATTGGGGTTCGAGGTTATGATGATGATGATGATGTTGTAGCCTGCTTCAAGTAAGTCATCACGGGGGAGGGGTCATTCATGTTAACAGATGTGTGTCCTGTTGGGGTTCCAGGTTATGATGATGATGATGATGATGATGATGATGATAGGCTATTTATATTGCACATATTGCCACACCGCTCAGGGTCATGTTCAAAGCGCTATTATTACCCCTGTCACTGGATCAATGTGCACTCAAGAATCATTATCAGCTCCCTGGGGAGTATGCAACCCAAGCTGCATGTTTGGCGCCAGGCTATACATGGTGACTGAATGGATCAGGTAGTCAGGCTCAGGGACTTGGTTGATTGTGTGTCATTGTGCCCAGATCACATGTGATGTTGCTCATGATATCAATCCCTGGAGTGTCTGGTCCAGACTTGATTATTTACTGGCTGCGTTGTGTAGCGGGAATATAGCTGAGTGTGACGTTAAATAAGATTCAACCAGATCACCATCTTACAGAAGCAAGGGAGTTAAATGACTGTAAAGTCCTGTTTCCACCCTTGCCGAACTAGGCCGGAATTTCTAGGTTCAATCATAGCGCCACCAGTGGCTATGACAAGTTATGTCCCTTCTATTTCCCTCCTATTGACCAATCAGATACCACCTCATATTACTCTCATTTGCTGAAAGAAAAATGGCCAATGAAGACAACTGGTCAATAATCAATATCTATATTGCAAAAAAATGGGTCTTTCTTTGTGAAGTGCATCAAATCGTGTGAGCACCTTGATTAAAAACATGAAAAGATTTGGAAAATATCTGTTGTTGCTAAATTTATCGGTACAGTGCTTTGCAAATCATGCAAGGCAGTTTACGAACCAGAAGTTGATTTCCTTACACTATTTTGATTGGACTATGCATAGACTCGTTCGTCCAGGCAAAATATAACTCCATATTTCCAGCCTAGTTTGTCAAGGGTGGAAACCGGACTTATATAGTCAGTTAACTCCCTTGCCTCACAAAGATGGCTGATCACAGGAACATTCCAGTTGTTGACAAATCAAACATGGAGGTCATTGTTTGTGCAGCCAATAATTATATCAGACTTGAGGAACTGGTCTTCACCAACCCTGAAGCAACTATTTGGATCGGGTGGCCAGGCTCTCTGGCTTGGTTAATGCTTGTCATCATATCCCATACCTGGGAAGATCCAGGTTAGAATAGGTCTTCAGCAACTCGTTAAAGGTGATCCATGCTTACTGTAATTGGCAACTATGCTTGTCGTAAGACGCGACTAACAGGATCAGGTGGTCAGGCTCTCTGACTTGGTTGATGCATGTCATCGTATCCCAAATGCGTAGATCGATGCTCATCATGTCAGTCATTGAATTGTCTGGTCCAGATTCCATTATTTACAGACGACTGTCATATAGCTGGAATATTTGCTGAGTGCGGCGTTAAACAATACACAAACAAGCAAACCAACAAACATCATATCCCAATACTGTAGGTCAATGCTGTTAAACAACACAGATTGATGCTCGTGATGTCGAATCACTGGATTGTAGTGTCCAGACTTGCTTATTATGCGTACTTCATGCTGATGCCTATCACCATACCCAAAACATGTTACGTTACGTGGCTCTGTAATCATCAGCCACTGGTTTGATTATTATGTTCCTAGTTGTCTTGATATATACTGGACAAACAAAGTCATGAATATTTGGGGGGATAATTTTTATAAAATTGTGTGCTCAGTGTCTAACGAGATCGAGTGGTCAGACTCGCTGACTTGGGTGGTGCATGTCATTGTATCCCAATTCCTTGGATCGATGCTCATGATGTCAATCACTGGATTGTGTGGTCCAGACTTGATTATTTACAGGCCGTTGTCATAAAGCTGGAATATTGCTGAGTGTGGCATTAAACAGCAAACAAACAAACCAAAAAGGTTTCGACTCAGAAATAATCATTACATTGATACACAAGTACCAGGTCAGGTACCATGTAGCTTTGCAGGTACCCGAGTAATAATTTCAATACATAAACATAGAGTGTTGTTGTTCCAGGCACATGGACACCTCCCTCCTGGACTGTGATGTGCAGACCAACTATGTCCGAGTCCTGATGAAAGGAAAGGTAGGTGTTGAGGACAGTCATCAGATGGAGCTTGGTGAGAGGTAGTGAGTGTGGTGGGTTTAACTCCACTTCAAACAGTATTAGAGTCATGTCACGGAGTGTCATGTTAATGAGGGAGGAAAACCGAAAGTAAAATTGGGTTGTTTACTTCATTTGATGTGCAAATATAAGCTATGTCAAATGAATGCTCCATTTGTGTCTATTCTAAGTTGTTGTTTCTGTTTTCAAACCTTGCATTTGTGTGTGTCTGTTTTCACACTTTAGAGTTGTGTCTCTCTGTTTTCAGATCTTGCAGTTGTGTGTGTCTGTTTTCACACTTTAGAACTGTGTCTCTCTGTTTTCAGATCTTGCAGTTGTGTGTGTCTGTTTTCAAACTTTAGAGTTGTGTCTCTCTGTTTTCAGATCTTGCAGTTGTGCCTTAGTGAGGACGTCAACCCAGACTCCAGCACTGCCCAGCGGTCACAGATCACTGGCCACCTTGTAGTCACAATGCCAAAGGTGTGTGTCACATATATAACTTGTTTAATATCTGTTTATATGATTGCTATGAACATTAACCTTGATGATCATATCAAAAATGATTTTTTTATTTGTGAATTTTGATGGTTCCAGAAACAAAATGAAATTGGATTTTGAATAAATGCCAATTTGTCCATTGTCAGTGTGTACATCCATTTATCTGATGAAAACTTCCATGGCAACCATTTTCAAATTGTTTGGGATTTTTGGCACTGTTTAGTTACTTTTAAACAAACCGCATCTACTCCACTCCTCTGGCCAGCGGTGTATGATGCCATATTTTAAAACAAACAGAGCTTGTACATCTTTATCCCATCAAGGATAGACCGCCTCCATGGTCTAATGGTAGAGCGTCCGCCCAGAGAGCAGAAGGTCCGGGGTTCGATCCCCAGCCGCGTCATACCAAAAGACGTTAAAAGATGGTACTTGTTGTTACCATGTCTGGCGCTCGGCATTGAGGGGCTAAAAAAAGGACTGGTCGGCTCGGAGTCAGTATACTGTGTCTGAGTGGGGTATTCATGTTAAACTGCGGCATGGTATCTCAGTGTGCTAGCACTATAAATCGGCATCAGTCCGGACTAGTACAAGCAGACACACACACACACATACACGTGCATGCACGTCGCTATATAAGTGCAATAATCTTGGACGCGACGTTTAACCCCATTTCACCTCACCCATCAAGGATACACCTCTTCAATTATTGTTCTGTTCTGTACTGAATTATTACTCAGTGTGTGCCATCTTATGCTCTGCATTTGGATGTACTGTTACATGTAGCAATAACCCATGAAGTTCTGTGTTTCAATAGGTCTTCAGCAACCCATGCTTGCCGTAAGAGGCGACTAATGCAATCGGGTGGTCAGGCTCGCCGACTTGGTTGCTTGTCATCGTATACCAATTGCGTGGATCCATGCTCATGATATCAGTCACCGGATTGTCTGGTTCTGACTCGATTATCTACAGGCCATCATACAGCTCAAATATTGCCGAGTGCAGCGTTAAACAACAAACAAACATGTAGCAATATATTATGTATAAAGAATTCCCTCTTGAGTAATAAAGTTTCCCATTGTCATATCTGCAGAAATCAGTATGAAATTTGCTATGTGGTATGCAGAATAACACAGAATGTGGGACGTATTGTGATTGTTTACCCTGTATTTGCCTGACCCTTCAGCTTCCATTGTTATCCATTATACTGTATATCCTCTGATACCTATGGGCTTTTGAAGATTTTATGTGTATAATCACAGAATTGATGACTCTTAAAGGGCAAGTTCACACGGAAATTAACCTATTTTTCTTGTACTTTTTCCACATTAAAAGTGTTAACCTAGAAGTGTCATAGACAAAAATATAAAAAATATCACAATTAATTAACATTTTTCGCATTAAAACGATTTATATTTTTCACATTTACAAAGTGTTCTATTTCCACAACAAAAACACCATGGCTTATGCCCCTTGCAATGTGACGTCATTGGTGCCAATTGATAAACATTATGACGTCATCATGCTTTGTTAGAGCCGCTTCACGTGGTGTAGGTCTAGGTGTGTGATTCTAGCGTCTCAGATGCCAGCCAGCATAGTGTTATGCTGAGTCACCACTGCGCCGGAGTGTGTCGTAGGCCATGTTGTTTTACCGCAAACTGGTACTTCATATCTTTTGCGTTGAGAATAGACAGGGACCCAGTTGAATTGGCACCAATTACGTCATAATCTAAGGGGGATAACTCAGGCCTGTTTCGCTCCAAAAACGAAGGCCTCATAACGGCATATCATTTTCACACTATTGTGAGCTTCCTACTTTCACTGTGAAAAAAATGAGTGTATATTTTCAAACACAGATACTAATTAATTCTAAAATTGCGTTTTGTTTAGAAAAAGAAAGAAAGTGATTTTTGCGTGTACACTTCCCCTTTAAGTCACACAAGTCTGATCTAAGTTTAAACATAGCTGTTTGAATCCTTAAAACTTAAAGATTCTGTGCCTGTAACACAACTATGTTGATAGAATGAGAACAGATAATTAATAGTGATTGTCGAACAACTTTTGACAAATTGGTTCCTGCTGATAAGACCGCCGCCATGGTCCAGTGGTAGAGCGGAAGTCCAGGATTCAATCCCCAGCCATGCCATACCAGAGGACATTAAAAGATGGTACTTGTTGTTACCCTGCCTGGCGCTCGGCATTTAGGGGCTAAAACAAGGACTGGTCGGCTCGGAGTCAGTATACTGTGTCTGAGTCGGGTATTCATGTTAAACTGTGGCATGGTATCTCAGTGGGCCTGCACTATAAAATCGGCATTAGCCCGGACTAGTACAAGCAGTAACACACGTGCATGCACGTCACTATATAAGTGCAATAATCTTGGACCCCCTTTCAATTTACCACCTGCTGAAAAACTGACTTTCATTAATTGTATTATTGAAATTGAATGAGTTTCTTTGTACACATAAATATTGCAGTGGCTACACACTAATTACATTATCAGCCAGTTTTCAGATTAGTTTTTTCTAACATGGGTTTTGTGGGCCAAATGTTCTGTGATTCACCATAAAGTTGTCATGAAGGGGAGAGAACTCTGTTTAGTTTGATGAAATGAAATTTGACAAGAAAACTTATGGGGGAAAATGAGAACAATTGGTTCCTTGGGAATGAGTAGTGAAACATGCAGATGGGTAGACTATTGTTTTATGATGGAAGACATAGGGTGTGATTACCATAGGACCTGAGAACAGGATGATGTTGCTGTCTCAGATTAAGATTGTTTCATTGATTGAGTGAGTCAGTATGCTTTTACGCCGCTTTTAGCAACATTCCAGCCATATCACGGCGGGGGACACAAGAAATGGGTTTCACACTTTGTACCCATGTGGGGAATCAAACCCGGGCCTTCGGTGTGACTAGCGAATGCTTTAACCACTAGGCTACCCCTCCGCCCCGAAGATGTCTTCAAAAGAAATAGGTGTCCTAACATAGGCAGTCATACAATGGAGAACAAACATTGCTTTTGAACATACTTTTTGTCACATTTTTTTCATTACAGACCAAACAGATCATCACGGCCAACAAGCCCAAGAAGACAAGTAATAAGGAGAACTGTCATGATGCAAAACAAACAGACAAAAAACAACAGTAAGTCCATCTTTGCCATGATGGTGCTTTGTTATTAAGTGACAATTGTTTCAACTGTAGTAGGTAGCATCTGTATCAGGTCGTCCTGTGTGGACTCAGGGTAGAATAGGTCCCCAGCACTCCTTGTTGCAAGAGGTGACTGTATTTGGTTGAAGGTCAAGCTCTGTTGGCTGGTTGGTTGGTTGGGTGTCATTGTAAGCAAGGATTATATCCTTCCGTAATATTATCCCGGGGGAAGTTTTACTCTAGAGTATAGTATAGGATAGGATTAAACACACTGGTATGGGTTCAAATTCACGAGGGAGAATCATCCTGACACTAGAGAATTTCATCCCCAGGATAAAAAATAGGGTAGGATAATATTCACTCTTACATCATCGTACCCGGATGTTTTCAGAAAGCCATTTTCTTATATTTGAGTATGACCTTGACCCAAGCTGATTTTCTTAGGAGATGTAGGTTAAGAGAGTACAAACTTTCAGCTTGGGTCAAGGTCTTGTTCAGAGTTTGATTTGCCTTAGATGTTCAGAAAATCAGAACCTGTGAAGATCCGGGTGAGAATTGGTCTTCATCAACAACTTGTTTCTGATAGGAGGCGACTAATGGGAATTGGTGTTCAGGCTCGCTAACTTGGTTGATGCATGTCATTGTATCCCAATTGCGTAGATCAATGCTCATGATGTCAGTCACTGGATTGTTTGGTTGAAGAATTATTTACAGACCCCGTCCTATAGCTGAATATTGTTGAGTGCGGCATAAAACATCAAACTAACAAACAAATCAGAAAATCAGACTGCTTTCATGGTCTAGTGGGGAGAGTGTGTTCCCAGAGAGGCAAAGGTCCAGGGATTCATCCCGTGGCTGCATGATACCAAAAGACGTTAAAAGATGGTATTTAGTGTTACCCTGCCTCACAATCAGCATTAAGGGGATAAAACACGGTAGGTTGGGTCAGAAGCATTTTAATTGATCTGAGTGGGGTATATTATTAGTTATGGTGTCTTTAGTTGCCGTATAAGGTGTCATATTAGGTTAGCAGAAAAATATTGGGCAGAGGCCTCGCCCAATATTTTTCTGCCAAACGAATATTACACCAAATACGACAACTAAAGACACCATAACAAATTTATTATCAATATTGCACATGTCATGTCAAAATGAAAGCTTGACACTTACAACTGTTGACGTTAAGAGTCAAAGGGAGACTACTCTTCAAACATTAGAGGCCAAACCTTGTTGACCAATGTTGACAGTTTTAAGTATGATCTTTATCAATAAAGTCACAAACATGATCTAAAAGAGGTTAATGTCCTTGCACATCACAATTAATGACATAAGAACACAAAACAGTGTCAAAAAACAAATTTCTGTACCAGAATTTTCATGTGAAAAATGTGAAATGGGTGTTGGAAAATCCAAGATGGCTGTTCCTGACGCTATACTGTCTCATATTAGGTCAGTAACAACCATCTTGGATTTTTACTGACGGTATACAGGCTCATGTGGGGTCAGTAGTTCTGCCCTCTGATTGGTCAGTCTCACTTTGAGGCATAATAAATCTTAATCTATGGTATCTCAGTGAGCTAGCGCTATAAAACCAGCATATGTCCCCACCAGTAAAAGCAGCCACACACACACATGCATGCATGTCTCAATATGAGTGAAATAATCTTGAATGTGATGTTAAACCCCAAGTTAAGCAATGTTGGTCACGTAGAGTTCTTGGATTGGGGACAGTGTTCGGCAGCTTGGCTCCTGAGAGTTTCTAGGGCTTCGGTCCTGCCCCACACTGAAGCACATGAACCACATGTGGTGTCTCCGTGGGAAAGTGACTTTGTATGCAAGATGCCTCTGTTCACCCAGCAGTGAGTGGGTACCCGGTAGGATGAGATGGCAATGTGGCTGTTAACCTTCTAGCACCTCACAGGTAGCTTGGGTTGTATACTCCCCAGGGAGCTCAGAATGATTGTTGAGTACACACAGATCCATTGACTGGGGTAACAAGTGTGCTTTGAGCAACCATATAGTGGATGGAAAACAGCACCTAATAAATGTTTACTTATAAAATCAGCCTTGTTTATTCATTTCAGCCATACTTCTGTACCTGATCATGTGATATGCCCATATTTTGCAAGTGATAGAAAGACAAAAAGCCACAACTTGGATGAGCATGTACAATAATGTTCATAAGAACGATTCAGTGTTTTCTGTAACTCTTTGACAACCTCGTGATACCTTGAATGTAAACAGTTGGACTTGACAGATACTTTGTGTTTGACAGATCAGGTCCAGTCTTGCTAGAGGTGGATGCGACTGCCAAGAAGTGTGTTGATATCGGGAACATTGTGAAGGACAAGCCGGAGAAAATAGTTCCTCCCCTTGGATACAGCAACAGGAGGGATATTCCAGTTCCGCCAAACTCTGATGACTTTGTTGATGACCCTGATGTCCCACCTCTCTTGTGAAAATAAACAAAGTTTCAGATGGAATGAGAGCCATGGGTGCTCAGTTCAGTGTGCAGCGATTCATCCTGAGGCGTTCCAGAAACCTACGTTCATGGGTCAAATCCCATATTTGCCATGAACAATGCATCTTCCTGAGACATGGGAGTCCACTGTCCGAACGAGGCTGGAATTTCTGGGCTTGATCGTAGCGCCACCAGTGGCTATTCCGAGTTATATATCCCTTTGATGTCGGTCTTATTGACCAATCAGATTCCACCTCTCATATCTCTTGCATTTGCTTTTAACAAAATGGTGGCTCCCAGTCATGATCTGATCAATAATCAAAATCTATATTGTGATAAAATGGGTCTTTCTTTGTAAATGCATCAAATCAAGTGAGCACCTTGATTAAAAAAAACATGAAAAGATTTGGAAAATATATGTTGACACCAATTTGGTGATACACATGTTTTGCAATCCTGCAATCGACTGAAATCTGCACGGCAGTTTATGAAACAGATGTCAATTTTTTAAGCGATTTTGATTGGAAGTCTGTGCATAGACTCGTTAGTCCAGCCAAAATGTAGCTCAATAATTCCAGCCCAGTACAACAAGGGAGGAAACTCTATTTTTATAGTCCTTTAACTCCCTTGCCTCAGGAAGATGTGAACAATGAATTTTAAGACTTCCATATAACATCGTCCATCAGTTTCAGGATGTTCTTATAGTATAACATAACTTCCATCAAGTGTATCATCATGTTTATAGAACCATTGTCGCTAATGTCATGAAGCATTATAGCCTATTGGTGCATGGTCAAACAAGTCTTTTCAGGAAAGATATTTGAGAATGATTTGTTTATAAAGGAACACATCACATTTTAGCCTGACATGAGATCATACGTAATTGATGTATATTTATTCATTGATCAATCTTTCCATTTTGTTCACGTGCATAATGTGATTTTGAATAAGCTGTTTTTCTGAAAATAATGCAGATACTGGACGACAGTAACCTACATTTGTAACGAACACGCTTATAACGACCTGACGGATATAACAAACTGTTTGCTGTATAGAAACTGTATAGAAACTGTATAGATATATGCTTATAACGAACTAAAATTAGTGGTCCCTTTGAGTTCGTTATAACCATGGTTTTCTGTATACATGTATTATTGATTAGGAAGCAATATAGGTTGAAATCAATGGGAAGTGTTCCAATTTCATTTTGTTTACAAGCATCAACTCTATTTCCTGTCGACATTTCTATTCCATCGAGAATATTATATATTTGGGTAAGAAATTGTTCAGTTATTGTTTGTTTTTGTGTATTGATAATGAGATTGTTATTTGTGTCCGTCCAAATTCATTATACAATACCAATAAACCATTTTGTCAAAATAATGTATTCAGTCATCTGTCTGGAGTTGTCAACATTCCATGTGCAATATTCCAGCTATATGACAGCTGCCTGTAAATAATCAAGTCTGAACCAGACAATCCAGTGATTGAACCACTCATTTGGATACGATGAAATGTGTCAACCATGTCAGCGAGTCTGACAACTTGAGCCTGACCACCTGATCCCGTTGGTCGCCTCTTTCGACAAGCATGGGTTGCTGACGGCCTGTTCTAAGCAGGATCTTCAGGGCTTCACGATTAGACATGGGTACTGAGTGGATTGGATGATAACACTATGCCTTGGTTGATTTGCATGTGTCATCATACGGGTATGGTACCATGCTAAATCAAAAGTTTGTCTAGTCGGGAGTGATTTATTTAAAGGCTGCTGTCAAAGGGCTGGAATATACAACTGACTGCATTGTTTACACAATCATAAAAGCTGTTCACTCAGCTACAAGCAATCGCCCTGGAACATAAGGACTTTGTATCAGAGAATCCCTGTTGATAGCTGAAATGTGTACAAAAGGTCAGTAAAGACCACTACATCCATTCAATAATCATAAGAAATCTCTGCTAAAAGCAGCGTCCATTGTACGATTCTGACTATATCAATAGCATGTTTATGAATCACTATCATATAGAAAAGATCAGGGCAACCTGCCCTACCTTTCACAAACACCTGAAAAAACAAGTCAGTTGTTCACCTGAAAAGACTCTGGAACATAGGGTACAAGTCAAAATAGGGAATTACATCCTTTCAGTCACTTTGTCAATTTCAGAAATGCCCTCTGCATGTCTACCACGAAACGTCTGAAAGCTTTACTGAGGTAGTAAAATCCTGTGAAAGGCATACACATACATTCATGGTATGAAACAACATGAACTAAAGAAAGATTCAATACAAAACAGGTCACATATTGCACAGTAAACACACCGCTGTGTATGTGAAGACGATGAGTCAGTTGGGTTAACCCTCATGGTGCCTGGACGTCAGTCAGCCTGCATACCGCAGTAGTATATAATGTGGACGGCCAGCACCTTCTGTGGAAGGTGCCCTATGAATATTCATGAGCCTAGTGTTATGCTAATAGACATTCATGAGTGAGTGAGTGAGTATGGTTTTACGCCGCTTTTAGCAATATTCCAGCAATATCACGGCGGGCGACACCAGAAATGGGCTTCACACATTGTACCCATGTCGGGAATCGAACCCTGGTCTTCGGCGTGACGAGCCAACGCTTTAACCACTAGGCTACCCGACCGCCCCAGGCATGCATGACATCACAATGAGAACGGCATCATTATGCATGAATGTTAAGAATGTGAAGAATGCGGCCTTTGTTAAAATGTCATAGTTGAGGAATTCTTTAGGAATGCCAGCTTTTTGGAATTCTTTAGGAATGCCAGCAATTGGATTGTAGTCGAGGTAGATACCTTCAGATACATACTTGAATGATCGTCATCAAATGGAATCTCACCCTATCCTGAAAGAATGTGGACATGTGTTAACACCCTTCTCTGCTTAGCGTAGCCTATCTCTCTCACCTTAATAAACCAGAACCAATCATTTTAATTGTTAATTATAGACATGATGCCAAAAGGTTATCTAACCAATCAGCTCACCTTTCCCTTTCAACAACCAATGAATTTAAAACTTATATCTAGATATAATGCATGTGTACCTTTTTTTGTCCTTCCAATTTCCACTGTCGAGTTGTGTTGGGAAAACGTCTATGTGTGTGTGTGTGTGTGTGTGTGTGTGTGTGTGTGTGTGTGTGTGTGTGTGTGTGTTGTGTTGTGTTGTGTTGTGTTGTGTTGTGTTGTGTTGTGGTGTGGTCACACATAGTGCGGGAACATGACTTTTTTTACACTGTTTTTCACATCAGCAAGCTGACGACATCAACGCCTGTATAAAATAAGTGTTGCTGCTGTTTCATAGGACAGATGACAATTCTTACTCATGATGAATGGGATGTGGTAAAACATTGTCCAGAAAGGATGCTCTGTTCAGACACAAGAGGCTTATTCACAGCAGGAAAGATGTGAATATTCTACCCATAAGGCAGATAACACTATCAGAATCTCGTATGACATCATCTACACTGTTGCTGCTGCCACCACCGCCACCATCGTCTTCATCCCTTCAAGAGTCATCGACCCTGGTACATGTACTTCCACAAAAGCCAACACTTCTGACACAAAAGCCAACACTTCTATGGCCACCGCCGTCACTCGTAACACCATCACCACCTTTCACATTCAACATCCTTCAAATTCAGTGACAGTAGGACCGTCCGGGTGTGGTAAGTCTATGTTTGTCTATAACATACTTCAGAGAGGACAGATCAATCCACGACCCAACAATATCATATGGTGTTACACTCTGTGGCAACCCCTTTACGATACCATTCTTAAAACTCTACCCCAAGTACAGTTTGTGAAAGTGATACCTTACAATCTCGAAGATGACAAGTACTTTGATGCCAGTAACCAGAACATGATGGTGTTGGATGATTTTTTATCTGAGGCCAAGAATGACAAGCAGATTTCCCGCCTGTTTACTCAAACCTCACACAACAAAAAATGTCATTATCTTCTTGTTATTGCAAAACCTGTTCCCGAGAGGCAAGGAATCACGTGACATTGATTTGAATGCCCATTACGTGACACTTTTCAATTCACCCGTGGATAGACAGCAGGTGAAATGTTTTGGCAGAAGAATTTTTCCGAAAACATCAGTAAATTTATGACTCTTTATGAAAAGGCTGTTGAAACGCCTTATGGACATTTGACAGTAGATCTTAAACCTGGCACGAGTGAGAAGAACAGATTGCATGCCAATATATTGACAACCATCAATCATGAATCTGAGTGTGGTTCACAACAGCAGGAGTGAAAAGGGAGCTCTCCATCAACAGAGCAGCAAATGGTCAAAGAACTTCCATCCAAGCAGTACACACTGGAAGAAAGATCTTCTGCATGAGAAACATCTTACGATCTTGACGAGAAGACAGCATCCACTTCCAGTGAGGACTCGGGACCTTTCACCATGGCCACTGCTTGCGCTGACTGTGACATCTTGATAGGTAACATGCATGATTTACAGAAACATATCAAAACATGGTGCCCCGAAAACGAGTTTAAGCCTAAGAGAAAACGTGTACGATATGATGATGATGATGATGATAGTGACGAAGAGCTGCCCATGCAGAAAGGGGGTGGTGATGTTAATACTAAATCTAAATGGCATGATCTCGAGGCCAATGAGTGGCAAAACGTGGGTTTACAGCGTATATGGAATAGGGTGAATGACAGGAGCCTACACCACAAACTACAGGCATCAAGGAAAATCGGAGGAATGGGTCGAAAGAAAACTACATACTGTGTGGAAAAATGATTTGGCAAACACGTTGAACTGTGTCATTGACTTTACCCGCTATTTTGCAGAGGCACCCTTGTTCCAACCCATCCTAGACAGCCTGAAGGAGATGGATCCGAGCATTGAACAAACGGTCATCAAAGATAAGATCAAACGTTTCATGAAACCCATCATGAACAATATTCTGACTCGCATAGACATGACTGAAGCAGACAGTGACATGGAATCTGATGCTTCTCAAGGGGAGGATGAACCGAGTGAACCAGAATGATGAAAATCCCTCACTTCAAGTGTCACGCCTTTAGTTGACCTCTGTCAGTCTCAGCGATCACATATAAACCTCGGGCGGTCGGATAGCCTAGTGGTTAAAGCGTTTGCTCGTCACGCCGAAGACCCGGGTACGATTCCCGACATGGGTACAATGTTTGAAGCCCATTTCTGGTGTCCCCCTTTGTGATATTGCTGGAATATTGCTAAAAGCGAAGTAAAACCATACTCACTCACTCACTCACATATAAACCTCAATGACAATGCCAAGTTACAAAAAGAAAACAGGACTTGTTCACATAGTGAAAACATACACCAAGAAATTGCACACCACTGAACCGAAACAGCTT